CTTTGTAAGATCTTTTTCAAACCAAGTGAGGTGGTGCACACCTGTAATGCCAGCGGCTCAGGAGGCTGAGGCAGGAAGATCTTAAGTTGAAGGCTAGCCTCAACAACTGTGTGAGTCCCTGAACATTTGAGTGAGACCCTGTGTCCAAATTTAAAAAAAAAAATTCAAAGTTCTGGGGATGCGGCTCAGAGGTCACATGCACCTGGGTTCAATTCATAGTTGCAAAAAAAAGTGTTAAGTGATATATGGGCTGTTTTGTTACTGAACTTGCCTAAAGCAGATACCTTCCCTTGTCCATAAGTAGACCATGACTGTGAACCCTTTGCTGGAAAAAAGCATTTTGGAAGAATAGTTTTGTATAGTTAGGAACAGAAATATCTTGCCTAAGTACAACTCTCTTGAGGTGCATGGGGCAATATGGGTTTGATGTATTTTTTTTATTAGAGCAACAAATATCAATAAGAATAATGAAATCCCCTCTGTGTTAACTCCAGGTGTTTTCCCAATATACCTATAACATTATTTCTCCATGTATTTTTTTCTGACTTCATTATTTAACTTTTTCAATGTTATTTTATTTTCGTCTGAATGCTAAACCAATAAAGAGTGGGGAAAAGAAAAAGCGCAAGTAGGTGATCAGGAATCAGAGTGCAGGAGAGAGCTCAGATGTCTTGGAAACACACAGATATAATCCATGTTCCCATCTAAATTTTATTGGCCTTGCAGCCTTGAAGTAGTGGCCTAGTTCTTTCAGCCTCAGTGTAAAATAGAGACGGTATCTGTTTTAGGGTTATCATGTGGATGAGAACAAATAATAGCACTCATTTGGCATCATGTTGTCCTGAGATTCAAAGGATGCAAATAAGATTACTAGCATGGCCCCCGACCAAGGATGTCATGCAATTTATACATCATGTGACATTGAAAAGGTAAGAGTAGCAGCTCACCTCTGTGTACACAGACACCATGTATTAACTCTTAATTTCCTTAGTGATTCTCTGAATGCAGTAGTATTATGATCCCCCACTTTACAGTGAAGAAATCAAAACCCAGATAAATTAAGTCAGTGGATTGCAGAGGAAATAGGTGAGGAAAGTCAGGATTTGAACTCTCAAGCCCAGGTTACAGGTCCTGAGCCTAACCAATGGTCTGTCTTTCTTGCTAGACCTATGACATGCATAGGAAAGTGGCACACAGGGGTCACAGCCAATGATACAGACAACCTGAGACTAAAAGGCCAACCCTGTTCTGCATCCTTCCAGCCCAGAAATACAGCTGGATGGCAGGTGGCTATGGCTTGACCTATGGTAATGTGGCCTGAACCAAAGAAGTTAGGCTGTTGATTGAACCCTAAGAGGCCAGTGTGAATGCTGTTCAGTGGCAGAATTTTAAACCCCTGGAGAGGACACAAGCCATCACCTTCCTTCTGGAACAGCATGTGGAGGATCCAAATGCACTTCTGGGAGTGTGGTGGTGGGTCTCCCAAGAACTCTGGTTGCAAAGGTAGGAGGCTGCTTGTTCTCCTGACTTCTGAAAAGTCTACTTGAACCAGAGGAAGAAGGTTAGACATGGGGTGCATTTTTTTTTGCCTCCCTCGCTCTAAGTTATTAATACTCTGTAGCAGAAAATATTCAAATATTGTCCTTTTTTGTTTCTGAGATGCAATCTCCCTCCATTGCAACAACTGGTCTTGAACTTCCTGTGATCAAGAGATCCTCCTGCCTAAGCCTCTTGAGTTGCTGGAACTGCAGCTGCACAATGCGGTGCCCAGCTCAAATATTACAGAAGATCAAGTGCTGAGGCTACAACTTTTCCTGTCCCCTCAAGCATTTCATGGTCAACTAAATCCATTCTCTGTAACATCATGAGGATATGGGAGAAACTATTGTTCTCTGTTAGGAAAGAGAGTTGATATGTCTGCGTTTGGATCTTGTGTGACCTGTAGAGTCATTTACCAAAGGGACCAGATAAGATCATTAAGGAAAAACCACCACCGTGTCTTCCAGTTAGTGTTGGAAATCCTGGGGTTTCATCATAATTATTTTAGCTAACAGACAAATAATCAAAAACATACACAGATCAAGTCTTCCCGGGCAGGAGGTCAGGAAGGTTTGTAGGTCTCAGATTGGCTCAGAACAGACTTGGGACTGATGGAACTTTTTGTGATATTTATCAGGCCTTCCCAGATCAAGATGCTTGCTTCATAACCTACCAGTTTCACTTGGATGTTGGAAGAACGGACATGATGTCCATCTGCAGTAACAATAAAAAATGATTGTCTTATCTTTTCAAAGTGCATGTATGGATTTGTTTTGGTTATACTCTTACTCCAGGTGTCTAAACCAAGTTGGCCAAAGTTCACCTTTTTCCTATCTATGCTAGATTCAGCTGAGATCTTCAGAGATTACTCCTGGGAACTGCTCACCCCAGGCCTGCAGCTGTGCCCAGGGACCCCTCACCCTCCTTTGACTGCACCTTCCAGTTCCCCTTCTCCTGACGCTTCCCAGTGTTTGTTGAGCTGCACTTCCATGTGGGAAACCTTTTTAGCCTCCATACATGAGGGAGGACAGGCAGGGTGTTTTTTAAAAAGAAAATTCTATACACCATTAGAAAAAAAAATCATGTTTCCCAAAATGTGATGATCAGGCAAAATGACAATTTTATTCTTTCACTTACTCAACATTTTTCAGTCTTCTCCCATGACAAGCCTCAAATGACACTAGAAAGATTTTCCATGAGTGCACATCTGTTTGATGGGTCACAGAAGATTACAGGCACAAAGCCCCATTGTTCTCTGGTATATTTATATATATAAAAAATTGCATCAGAGCTGCGGACATAGCTCAGTTGGTAGAGTGCTTGCTTCACATGCACAAGGCCATGGGTTCCATCCCCAGCACCACACAAAAATATTACATTGATCTGCTCTCATATACCTGCTTTATTTAAGGTAAAATAGATACTGAGGATGCTTTAAAGAATCAACTTATATAACACACATAGTATCATTTCTGTACAAAATTGTAAAATAAAAATGTAAATGATAGTTCTAAAAGTGTGTTCTTTTCTGCCACTTCTGTGAAATGAAGATTAGGGCCTGGAGGACATGCACTTCAAGTATTGTTGCTGGCCCTGGCCTTGAGGACTACATGTCTGACATATTTATACACCTAAACATTTTTTTGGTACTTTTCTATGTGTAAGTTATCATCAATTTTTTTTGAAAGTAAGGAAATAAAAACTATTTGCACATCAATCACAACTGGGAATAGCAATGCATGTAGACAGTCTCTGTATTTTTATTGAGGAATTCACTCACACGCCAGGTTATTATTGACACGTATAATAACTTACACTTGTCGTCCTAATGATTTTCTGGTTTAGTATCCTTTGTATATTTTTGTATTTGCTTTGTTCCTTCCTTTCTCTCTTATTGATTATCATTGAGGTTTGTTGGTTTTCTAGAGGGATTATATTTGATTCTTCTCTCCTTATTTTTGTAACAGTGCAATAATGAGTTAAGAAACTTCATGTGCATTTAATTATGTTTGCTTACATATGTAATCATAGGGTGAGAGACTGAGAATAAGATTTGAGTTTTCAAAAACACATCTTCAAACCACTGAAAGGAATTGGCTCTAGGATTTTAAGCTCACCACATGACATTGTGGCATGTTAAGAATTTTATCACTGGGCTGGGGTTTTGGCTCAGTGGACAGGCACTTGCTTGGCATGGGTGTGGTGCTGGGTTTGATCCACATAAAAAATAAATAAATAAAATAAAACATATACATATGTCCAAGTATACCTAAATTTTTTTTTTAAAAAAAGAAATTGATCACTTACTTTTTAATTTCAGAAAAGATATTTTCCACCACTGGGTTAAGATAACAACATTCCCGAGAACCCATGTCCTCGGGTTGGTGGAATATCATTCTGTTTTCTGTGTCTATCAATTTGGGAACTCCAACTTCAACCTCCTTTAAGTTCTTTTTATATAATATTGTTTTTTTGTGACTGACTTGCTTCATGGAGTAGAGTATCTTGAGGGCTCAGCTATGTGGCATCCTGTGCCAGAATTTTCTTTCATTTTAAGTGTTAATAGTCCAGTGTCTGAATAACATATTGTTTATATATTCTTATGTTTCTGGGTGTTGGGTTCTTTTTACATTTGATTATTTAAAATATGGTTTTATGAGAAATGCTGTGGAAATGACTGTATGATTCTCTGCATGTACTGTGTGTGTGTGTGTGTGTGTGTGTGAATGTGCGTGTGCACATGTGCACACATGCATGCTCTATGATATGCTGGTTTATGATAGCAAATGTTTACATGTCTCATTTGAAAAAATATAGATAACTGAGGCAATACAATTATTGAAAATCATTGGGACTATTGTACCTAAAAATAGTTTGGAATAGCCCAGGTGATGAAAAGTTGCATCCTCCTCAGAGTCCCTGCTGGAGGACTCAATGAGAAAGATAAAACCCTGGTAATATCTCACAGATAAAGATGGCTTGATTTTCTTTTATGTATTTGCCACTTACATATCCAAGTATACAGCTCTAAGAGAAGAAGAACTCTGTATTATATTTAAAGAAAACAGCATATATACTGTGCCATGGTGCATCATCCCAAAGAAATCACATTTTCTCATTTTAACAGAATTTATCCAGCACTGGTTACTGAAATATTTACTGTCTTCTCCCACATATATCTCAAAATATTAATTATACGTTTTTCAGTACCAATGAACACCAAAGGGCTGAAGGAGGCATAGCTATGAGCCACAATGATCTGGATACAGTAAAACACTGGATCATCCTTCAGTGTGATTCTTTCATAGGAGACAACACTGTCCAAGATGGACATGGCCACTAAGCAACTCAAGAGCAGTAGGATTGTCTGGGTGGCCCTCAGTTCTGGGGATGACACTGGAGACAGGCTGGTGCTGTGGAGATGCTGGGATTGCCTCTTGTGCCTGTACAGGAGAGCCACCATGTATCCATTGGAGAGGGCCATTATTCCTATAAGGGAGGCTTCCCTGAAGGTCATCAGTGTGGACAAGCTGTGCCGGAGGAAGAAGATCATGGGGATAAAGGAGCCTTTACCACATGCAATAACAAGAGTTTATTTTGCAATTTGTAGGTACAAATATTATTAGTACCTAAAACATTTTTCTTTTGATGAAAATTACCTTAAAATATTTGACACAGTAAATCTAAAGCAAAACATGATAATATAATAAATACAACATTCTATTAAATTTTAGAGTTTTACAACCTCAGAATGAATAAGTCATAATTTTAGTTTAGCAAAATCTTCGTGAGTTTTGCAACTTGCAGTTTTTCTTTTTTTTCATATTCTTCTTCTTTTGTCTTAAAATCTGCTTGAACTCATTTATTGAGTGGTCAAATGACTCTTGCATGAACCCTTAGAGACAGGTGCTTTTATTCTAATTTTGCAGGTGGGGAAACTGAGCAAGGTTAACTAGATCACTAAGTCTGGAGGACAGAATTCAAATCCATATATGTACCCACTCTATTCTGTGCCTCTGATTAGTAGTACCAACTCTGGTAAATGTTGTTCTAAAAAGTTCTTTATGCATTTAAGTTAATTTTAAGGAAAGCAAATTTTCTGTAGCTATAATGACAGGAATAAAAAATAAAAATACCACATGCACATCAACTCATTTATGTTGTATTTTACGATAACTATCAGCAAGTTCATAGTATCTTTTTTTTTTCCCTTTTTGGTACTACGGATTGAACCCAGGAGGGCTCAACCACTGAACCACACCCCCAGCCCTTTATTTGTTTATGAGACAAGTTCTCACTAAGTTGCTTAGGGCCTCACTAAATAAATTGCTGAGGCTGGCTTTTAACTTGTGATCCTCCTGCCCTAGCCTCCTAAACCACTGGGATTACAGGCATATGCCACCATGCCCAGCTCCCAGTATCATTTTTAACTAGTATTTAAACTTGTAACTATGGTCTTTACATTGCTAAGTATTCTGGTTGGATTTAAATAATCATCTTTTCACCATCAATTGGCATTCCCCAACGGATTTGTTATCCCTTTGAATTTAATAGGATTGAGTAAGGAAGTACAAATACATCAATAACTGTCCTCTGCATGTGAAATTCTAAGTTTCAATGGACACATATGACATTAATTGGTGGATAAAAGTGAATTATATGAATTATAATCCCTTCACTTATGATAACACTGATAACAATATTTAATTTTATTATTTTTTGCTATGCTAGGGGTTGAACCTAGGACCTTGTTCTGGGTGAGTACTGTACACTGAGCTACATCCCAGATTAAAATATTTTAAATATGTAACTTGGTAATAATTTAGCCAAGGGATTTAAAAAAATTATTTCATTTGTCCTGAAGACAATGGTGCAGTCCTCCATCTAGTTATAAGGGATTCGTTTCACAGTGCCCCCATTCATTTGACTGAAATGTGTAACATGACCACTAGAGAGCCGTCTTCCCTTTGGCTTCAATGCTGGTAGAGATTCTCCATCTTTTCTGCTTAGCTGATGAGGATCAAAGAAAACCACTCCATTCACAATATCCTCAAAAAAAATAAAATACTTGGGAATCAACCTAACAAAAGAGGTGAAAGATTTATACAATGAAAACTACAGATCCCTAAAAAGAGAAGTA